ATATATATATTTTTTTATATATTTATATAAAAATAAAAATTTAAATACAGATATATAGAGATATATATAGATATATATATATATATATATCTATATATATATATATATATATATATATATTTATATATATATATATATATATATATATATATATATATATATATATATATATATATATATATATATATATATATATATATATATATATATATATATATATATATATATATATATATATATATATATATATATATATATTAATTTTTTTTTTCCAAAAATAATTTGAATATTTTATGTGGGGTTCAAATTTTGTGGTTGTTCTATGAAATATCACGATCTCAAGTAATGCAATATGGATAATATTTTTTGGTTTTTTGGGTGAGTCATCTCAAAAATCAAGAGAATGTAATAATACTTTTAATTAAATTATTAATTATGGACATAGATTTTCAAGAAACTAGTTGATCCATAAGGACCACATGAGAAAAACCATGTGAAATGTGAAATATCTAACCAGATATAATTAACTTGATAGCTAAATATTTTATCCTAAACAAAGTTGATACCTAAATTTGAATAAAATGGTGTTTTAGATAATTTCGATTTTCTATTGTAACATATACATTCTATTTGTGTTACCACATAAAATCCTCGTCCCCGGGCCCGTCCCTTGGCCCCCTCTCTCTCTCACACACACAACTATGGCTCGATAGATTTTGATAGTTGAATGTAAATTACAGTGACTCAACGACTCGTTAGCGTAGCAGACTTGAGTTTGGTACCCGCAATGAACCAATCTTTAATTGAAGTTGTATTTCTCATACTGCAACTGTTAGTATTCGATGCCTAGACGCGAGACCCACGCGGGCGCACTTTTATTTTATGCCTCAACTGTAAAAGGTTCCTAAAGGTATTTGCATCTCTTTTTTTCTGTGGATACTTCAACTTTATTTATGAAAATATAATAAAATAAAATCCAATGTTACTCCAGATATCTTGAGGAGGCAGTGCCATAGCTTTTCAATTTCTGGGCCCTCCGATTGATTTAGAAAGAGAAACGTGAAATAAAAGAAAATAAATTAAAATAGTGAACATATAATTAAAAATCCTATTTTCAAAAGTCAATTTATGGTTTATTATATATTTTTTAATTTTTCATATAAATAATTTATAATAAAAACTAAAATTAATAATATGTAAAAATTAGGAAAAATATATATATATAAAATATAAAATGAGTTGAGCTCGAGCTCATCAAATGAAACCACGATGAGCTTGAGCTCAACCTCGAGCTCGGAAAATCTGACAAGCACGGCTGGAGCTCGACTCATTTACACCCCTAATCACTACTTAGCCTTTGATCACCTCCTTATATATGTATTCATATATAAATTATGATAACATTGTCAACTGTCAACCTAATTAGAATAGAAGATAAATGCCATCACAAAAATGATGTGCCAATTTTTTTAACCAAATGTGATAAAAAAAAATTGTTTTTTTTCCCCCGGAAAAATAGAAGAGAATGTTTATAACTATTTGATAAAGGAATTGTCATTTTCCTAAAATATAAATCCATAAATACTCCTCACCTCAACAATGGAGTTATAGATCATCATCTTCAATTCTTTTCCTACAATGGATTCCCTTTCTTCCTCTTTCCTTCCCAAATTGCCCCTCTACACCAAAACCACTATTTCCACCACCACCACCACCACCGCCACCTCCGCCGCCGTATTACCCTACATTTCATCCGTCAAGACCGAAGACAAGACGCAAACCACCACAAGGCCACCACTCAAGAAACAACCACCACCTCCACAACCGCCGCACGCCACGTACATAACCCGAACACATCAACTGAAAAAACCGTCGGAGCCACCATCTCTGCCGGCGACAATCATCAATGCATTCGACTACTTCATCAACACCTTCATCGATCCACCGCTCAAACCTTCACTCGACCCACGCTACGTCCTCTCTGACAACTTCGCCCCCGTGGACGAACTGCCCCCCACCGAGTGCCACGTGGTGGAGGGGTCCCTGCCCCCATCCCTCGACGGCGCGTACATCCGCAACGGCCCGAACCCGCAGTTCCTCCCCCGCGGGCCCTACCACCTCTTCGACGGCGACGGCATGCTCCACTCCGTCAGAATCTCCAACGGCAAAGCCACTTTCTGCAGCCGCTACGTTAAAACGTACAAATACGAAGTCGAAAAAGAGCAAGGGTTTCCTGTTATCCCAAATGTGTTCTCCGGCTTCAACGGCCTCTCCGCCTCGGCGGCGCGTGGGGCAGTCACCGCCGCCCGGTTTCTCGCCGGGCAGTTCAATCCGCTCAACGGCATTGGGCTGGCGAACACCAGCCTAGCCCTAATTAGCGGGAAATTGTACGCTTTGGGCGAATCGGATCTACCTTACGCCGTTAAAATTGACCCTAACGGCGAAATCCACACCCTCGGCCGCCGTGATTTTAACGGCAAGTTAACGATGAGCATGACGGCGCATCCAAAAATTGACGGCGAAACTGGGGAGACGTTCGCCTTCCGTTACGGTCCCATGCCGCCATTTTTAACCTTCTTCAGAGTTGAATCTAACGGAGAGAAGCAGCCGGATGTGCCGATTTTCTCGATGACGAGCCCTTCGTTTCTGCACGATTTCGCAATTACGAAAAAGTACGCGATCTTCAACGAGATGCAGATCGGAATGAATCCGATGGAGATGGTGGCCGGCGGTTCTCCGGTGGGGGCGAACGCCGGAAAAGTGCCGAGGATCGGCGTCATACCGCGGTACGCG